CGACTTGTAATTGCAAGCTGTAGAAATAAGCACTTACCTTCAGCCCCTTAGCTGAGCTTCTGCCAGCAGCTGAAGGCAGAGAGCTGATGGAAACTCCTGAGAGCCTCCTTGGGGTCCTTGTGTGCCCTCTCCAGAGGGCTGTGGCTCCTCAGTCAGTCTCAGGGAGGGCTGGAGGTGGGCTCTGGGTTAGGGGTGCCTCGGGGCTGCCTGGATCCACACTGAGTGCTGCCTTAATTCCCTGTGCTCGGGGCAGGCTGAGGCCGCAGCACCAGGGTCCTGTGGTGAGCAAGGGCAGGCCCAGAAGCTTTGCCCTTACTCAGCAGCACCCCAGATGTGCTGCCTCACCACCTGCTCTTCCCTTTCTGCTGCTCCACATTTGTGGTCTAGTGTTAACAGCTTGGGTTGCATAACTCTTCCCACCTTTCCCCAAAACCAGCTGCTGATGGGGATGACCTTGAAGACAGCACTAGTGTTGGTTTAATCCTGATCTCTGGCTAATGGAGCCCCAACAAGCACTTAATACCTTAATACATTACTGAAAAGGAATCTGGCAGGTGGGTTGGTACAGGTGCTGTGCTGGCACTCAGTGCCCAGCTCCCAGAGCAGCATTCCCCCTCCTGGCTGCTGGGATGCTCCCACAGCAGCATTCCCCCTCCTGGCTGCTGGGATGCTCCCACAGCAGCATTCCCCCTCCTGGCTGCTGGGGCACTGGCACTGTGTGTGTCTGGTTCTTACCCTGTGGAGGCTCCATGACTCACCCGAGGTGGGCATTGGCAGCCACCCCTCATTCCCTCGTGCTGCTGCATGGAGCTGACAGCCCATGACTTGTGCCCTTTTGTCCCTCTCCTCAAAGGTTTCTTGCTGCATATTCAATTCCATGCTCACCTCTGGGCACCTTTCTGAACAAATACCAAATGCAGTATTACAGGTCTATAAATTATTCTATCATCCTATCCAGACTAAAAGATGACACCCACCATCCTAGTCCTGATTTATGGGGTATAAAACAGTAACTTCTCTTTGCACAGGTTTAAGGTTTGTTTCCACCTCAGGCTCAGCAGCCTTTCAGTTCACCCACAAACCTCCCTAGCCTTTGAGGAAATTAACTATTTATGTAAGAGGACCTGAAACAAAGATGCCCTTTGTGCGACAGAAGCAGGGGAGGCAGAACAAGAAGTGCCTTTGGCCACAGCTCATCAGTCTCAGCATCAGCTTATGGAGAAAGAGAAATATGTGTCTGAGGGCAGCTCATCTCACCCAATGTAGGCATCTGCCAGGCAGAAAGAGAATAAATTTTAACTTTTAGAATAAGATAAGTGATGCAAGTCTCTCCATTCCCCGTCTCGCCTGGAAAAAAAGATCTAGATAACCAGTTCCTAGTTTGATCTTCACTGAAAATAAATATTCAGACCTGGAAGGATCTAAAGTGGAGTATCCTGATGGCCCCTGTGCTGCTGGTGCCCCTGGCTGTCAGACAGAGCTTCCCTGGCTCCCGCTGCCTTCTCATGTCCTGGAATTCCCTTTCCAGGGCAATCTCCTCCTCCTGCCAATTTTTCTGTCGGTTTTCTCCAGCTGGAGGCAGATCAGGGCAGTCTGTGCAGTGGATGTGCTACCAGGGACAGGGCTGTGCATGCACATTCCTGGCAGCCCTTGCCTTCCCTCCCCTCCCATCTGCAGGATGATGGCCTGTGCTGGGGTGAGGAGCAGCCCACCCTCAATCTATAGAAGGGATGGGTGTGGTGCCTTCTAAGGAGAGAGCAATTTTATTTGTGGTGCCAAAAAGAAATAGAGGATAAAGCTACGCCAGGGCTGGGAAGGGTGTACATGTCTGTGGAAGGCTGAGTCAGGTGTGCTGGCAACTCCCTGCAGTGAATGGGACCAGTTTTTCTCTTAAAGTCATGGAATGGTTTGGGTTAGAAGGGACCTGGCCCAGTGGGAATTAGCTGCTCCCTGGCCCCCACTTTCCCAAACTTGTAGAAAGCTGGAGCAGCCACTGGCAAAATGATTCATTTCAGGATGCTGACTGGCTCCAGACCACAAGAGAGATTTCAGCATCCTGATGCCTGTCCCATGCTCCAATTCAGATTCCTTGGGCAGGTGGGATCAGGTGTTCCCTGTGAACCCTGTGCATGTAGGTGTGTCTCCATGAGGAATATCATCTCCTTTGGAGGCTGCAGGATGGCCCCTTGAGTGCCAGTCCTATCTTTGCCAAGCACTGTATCGTCTCCAAGCCTCTAAATCCCTTTTGGGACCTTCAGGAGAAGGCTGCAAGCTGTTTACCTGCAGTGTGGACCCAGAGATGTCTGGAGGGGTGGGAGGAGCAGCACAGGAACAGTGGGCATTGCTATGGGAGGGAAAAGGGGCAAATCACTTCCAGCTGCCCTTAAGAACATGCTGCCCACATAATATTCAGCTCCTCTTCCTCAGAACTGAGAAACACTTGTAAGGGTGGTTGGGAGATGATGAAGGAGATTTCTCTCTGCTTACATGAACACACACACACTGAGAACACTGAGAGGAGCCCAGTTCTGTGAAATAACCTTCTCTTCCTCCGTGGCAGTGGAGGAGAGAGCCCAGCTGGGGAGGCATCCGGGGTGGCATTTAGGAATTCCCTCTGGCTAAGCCAGCTAAGGAGTCTGGAGCACTGTGCAGTCCTGTGCTGGGCTGCCCAGCACCACTCCTGCCTTTGCCTGGGTCACTGGAGGGAAAGGAGGGCAGGTATTTTGGGAACTCTTGAAGGAAGTGAAAGCAGAGTCTGAATCAAGTTCCTCTTGAAAGTCTGTGAAGCCACTAAACTTCAGAGCAAAGTTGCTGCTCTGCAGCAGGCTCAATGCTTGGGCAGAAGTTTCTAAGTCATGTGTGAATCTTCTTTGGATACTAAAAGTGCAGAAATATTTCAGTGAAAGCAGAAGTTCTATTTGTGGATGTTCAGGTCAGCTTTGGTTGGAAATTCAGAGTACTGATCTGACGAGCAGCCCTTTAACTCTGCACAGCTGCAGCTTAGAGGGGTTACAATGCAAACAATTCCTGTACCCCGAACTGAGCCTTGGCCCTAAAAATCTTACTGTTGGTTGGAGCAAACCTCTTACCTACCTTGTCAGTGGTTTTGTGTGTTACAGACTGGTCTTGTGCTGTGTGTGCTCACACTCTGCCCAAGAGACTCCCGGACTTCAGCTGTTCCCCGAATGTGCTGTGTTGCTTTTCCCCTGATACATGTCAAAACCCCAATAAATATTGGCTTTGCAGTGTTTCTAGCCACACTTTCTCTCTAGTATAAAATGTTCCTTCAGCTTTAGCTACTCTGTCTTCTCTCAGCATTCCCTCCAGTGACCAGGCAAAGGTCACCTGCAGGGAGCAGGGTATCTCACCTGCCACTCACTTTTGGCCAAGACAAATCTGTAACCTCATCCATAACCTTCTGTCCTTATGTGTAATCCTCTGTTTGTGTCCATAACCCTCTGTCCTTGTGCTCTGGTTTGTGGGTGCTGGCTGGTTCAGGTGCCCCAAGGATGAGCAATGCCTACCACCCACCCTCTGTGCTCCATGTAAACGGTGGAGTGGGGCAAGGCGAGGGTGAGATGGGATTTCATAGCTTATCTGCAGCTGTGGCTGTGTGTTCCTCTAAGTCTTTAATCCTAAGTAGTGAAACTAGTGTAACCATGTGAGTCTGTGGGATTGTTTTGTCAGCAAGGGAGCTCCTGGAACTGAATTTTGCTCTGCAAGGGACAGTGGGCAGCATGTCTGGGTGTCACAAAGCTGTCCCTTTAGCCAAGGCAGCTCTGAATAATCTAATCTTGAACAATTTTGTAGAGAACTGCTGAAGTCTTTTATCTGAGTTGAGAAAAGCTCTCTGAGATCCCATTGGTATTGCTGGGGAGAGCTGTCTGTGGTGTCTTTGGGGCAAACACATCTAAGAGGAGCTCAATGGCTACAGGCTGTGCTCTGTTTGGATTTGTGTTTTGGGAGCAAAAAGTTGATGTGACTGGAGCCAGATAGTGGGGCCTTTGAGGACTGATGAAGGGTCGGGTTTTAATTTTGCTTTTTAACAGAGATTCTCCCTCTGGCTCAGTGGTGGGAGCAGAGCAGCAGCTGATGGTAGAAATGAATATGGGCTTGCCCAAGAAGCTGCTTCTGTGGTTCTTGAGATAGACTGTAACCTGGGAGCTATTTGCTCCTGGGCTTGATGAACAGGAGGTAGTAAAAGTGAGCTCATAGGGGGCTGGTGTGGGGAGGTGGGTGCTCAACCACAGCATTTCCTACGCCCGTGGCCTTACCCTGTGTCTGTGAGCATTTCTAACGGGAGCTGGGGAAACTTCACATGGGAGCTAAGTGTCCAAGTGGTCAGCAAGGGGAGCCTTGTCCACTCCAGGGCACAGGCTCCAGCACACAGGTGCTGGTGGGAGCCAGGCACATCTGACTAGTCCCTGTGCACATGAAGCTCCTGGAACAGAGGACTTATAGTCTGGGGAGCGTTGAGTGGTAAGATGCAGCAGGCAGCCCCTTTATCCTCATCTCCTGGTCCAGGCACAGAGGAGATGTGCCACTGGCTGAGCTTCTGGGAGCAGGGCCAGGGCTGAGGGCTCGGCATTGGAGTGCAGGGCTGCGGGCAGAGGGGTCAGTGCTGGTGCCGAGGCCTTGGGGCCAAGGGCTTGATGCTGGGGTGGAGGGGTGGGCACAGGGTTAAGGGCTCAGGACAGAGGGCTTGATGCCAGAGTAGAGGGCTCGGAGCAGAGGGCACAGAGCTGGGGCAGAGGGCACGGGGCTGGGGCAGAGGGCTCGGGGCAGAGGGCACAGGGAGCAGAGGGCTCGGAGCAGAGGCCTCAGTGCTGCTGTGGAGGCGTTGGTGTGGGGTCAGCGGGCTCGGGGCAGAAGGCTCCGTGCCGGGGTGCCAGGGTGGAGGGCCTGGGGCAGAGGGCGCGGTGCCGGGGCACGAAGCAGCCCTCCCGCTATTGTTCCCGGCGCCCCCGGTGCCGCCATCCGTGCGGCACGAGGCAGGCGCCGGCGGGAGCAGCGCCATGGGCCGGGAATTCCCGCCATGGAACGGGCAGCGCCCGCGATCCCGCCGCCCGCTCCATTTTCTGTCTCGCCCGTCACGGAGACGCTCAGATGGCAGAGCCGCGCTCGGCGGCCCTGGGAGGGAGGTGGAGTCTGCCCGTCCTCCGCCCGCCCTCCCTCCATTGTCGGCGGCGGCACCGGCACCTGCTCGGGCCGCCGGCGGCCGGGATGCTCCTGCCCTTCCCGGCGGAGCGGGGACGCTGCCGCAGTGCCGGGGCCGCAGCTCGCAGCCGGAGGGAGGAGATGCTGCTTGTGCCTGCCTGGCCCTGCTGCCGTCTCGGAAAATGAACATGAGTCTGCCAGGCCGCGTCTCCTGCTCCATGCTTAACTGCTTTGTAAGTGCTGCTTTTTATTCCCCTTCTCTCTTCCATGGAAGCGGGGCCATAAGCCAGCTGCGCTCTCCAGCTCACATGCCGGTGGAGGCATCCTCTGTATCTGCCCGGGGAGAAGGGGGATCCCCCTCTCCTGGCTCCCACATGCTGCCGGAGGACACCGTGGGCCGTCCCCGCTGCCCTGGCCGGGCCCAAGGGCACAGCAGTGCCCGGCGCCGCGGGCTGAGCCCCGGCAGGCCCTGGCCGCTCTGCTGGGCCCCGCAGGCTCCGCGCCCTGCCTGGAGCTGGGGAATTACCGTGCGAGAGCGGCCGAGCCCCGGGAGCCCCGCGCCCCCTCCCTGGCCGCGGCTGTGCAGGACCCCTCCGGTGCGGTGCTGGGCTGAGCTGAGAGCTCCTGCACTCGGTGCGGTGCTGAGCTGAGGGGTCCTGCACTCGGCACCCTTAATACCTTCAGCGAGGGGGGGTTCCCTGCTCTGACCCTTCCTGCAGACCCACCCTCCACCCCCCAGGGCACTCCTGTCCAGATGGGCGCCGAGGGCTTGTGAAGAGAGCAGGGTGCTGCCCCCCGCCCTGCCGGTACCGGGGATGGGGCTGTGGCGGATGGGGATGCTCGGCCTCCGCCTGCCCTGTGCTGCAGGCGAGGAGGGACTCAAGGACACCCAGGCGGGGGGAGAGCTCGGGCCGCCCTGTTCCAGTTCCTGCTGCTCCCTGGGATTTCTCTGCGAGCTGCGAAGTGAGGATGCGAGAGGATCTCTGCTTCCCGGCTGCTGCACCGGCACACGGGCACACACCTTCCCTTTGTGCTCCCCTGAGCTGGTGCCTCAGCCTTGGAGGGAGCCGCTGGCAGGAGGGGCCCGGGCCGCCCGCGGTCTCCAGTGAGCTTTGGCTGCTGCTGGAGCTGGTGCTGTGCCCTGTGTCCCTCAGAGCATGGTGACAGGGCCAGTGCCTTTCCCTCATGCTGAGTTTTGTGAAGGCTCTAACAGCATGTTACATGTGTGCAGGTTCCTTGGATGTGAGGTGGGAGGGGTCTGGCTGCCCCTGTCTGAGGTCCAGGGAGCACCTCAGGCCAGGTTCTTCCTGCAGGCGCTGAGGTTTCAGGCCCTGTCAGAAGCACAAGAGAATTCAGCATAATTTGAAATATTCCTGAGCCAGAAGGATTGGGATCTCCTTTTTTCAGGTTGAAATTGGGATTCTGGCTTGGGTGACATACCCAAGAAAAGAAAGATTTTTTATTATTCATTTTAAAATATTACTCAGTGCTCACAGAACACAGTGTTTCCTAGTAAATGCTAGAGCCTAGAGCTAGAGAGCAAGCAGCCTTCTGAAGAAAACCTTCCCACACCAAATACATGTGGAATTAGCAGCATCCTGGACTCCCAGCAATGAGCATCTGCAGCTGAATGTCTGGGTGCCACTCCTTTGGCAGCAGTTCAGTGATGTGACAGGGCCTGGGTGAGGGCTGGTGAAAATTGTTACCAATAGTTCACACCAGAGCTCAGGGAGCATTGGGACAATGCTCTGAGACATGTGGTGGGATTTGGGATGTCCTGTGCAGGGCCACGAGTGGGAATTGATGATCCTTATCCTTTCCAGCTCAAGATATTCTGATTATATCAGTGCATTGAGATTCTCGTGTTCCAAACTGAGACATACACTCCACATGTCAAGGATGGGATGTGCAGGTTCTGTGTGACCATCCTGAGGCCTCTGTGGGTTTTTTTGGGTGTCCATCTGAACAGGCTGGACATACCCAGCTGCCCTGGCCTTGGTGCTGGCACCAGTCAGTAGTGCCTGTTGTGAATTACGTGTGCTGGGGTGCACCTGTTATAGGATTTTAGGTTCGTCACAGTTGTATCTTCTCCTGCAGAAGATTCAGGCTCTTCCCAGACTTCTTTGGTGTGAGAGTGAAAAGAAAACTCCTAAAGCAAAGCAATCCTTAAGAGGAGGAAGAGCAGGCTGGCACTGGCCTGTGGATGGACACCCTCTGTGTCATGGTGTGTCTCCTCTGGTGCCACGTAACAGGAACAGCTGATGTGACAAGTTACTGTCACATCAGTCCCCGTGGCCAAGGTGTGTCTGCTTGGCTTTCCAAACACCACTCAGCTGGAAGAGGTGGCACTTGGAGGCTTCAGCATTTCACTGTGCTGTGGGCATTCTGAACAGCCAGAGGAACTGCTGGGGTCTGGAGGCAGAACAGGCATTTCCATGCACAGGTACCCCCAAGCTCCTGGGCTGCCAAGAGTATCCAGCAGCTTCAATTTTTGGCTTTCACAGCGTGTTCTGGCCAAGGCTGTCTCACTGTGTGCTCTGTTTGCAATGCAGGGTGAGGAAGGCCCTCCCAGTTTGGAGTACATCCAGGCCAAGGACTTGTTCCCCCCGAAGGAGCTCATAAAGGAGGAGGAGTCACTGCAGGTAAGGGAGTAAAAACACCCAAACAGCTGTGGGATGTGGCAGGCTGGGCTCTGCAGAGCAGCTGTCCAGCCCAGCACGTCCTGGAGGCCCCGGGCTGGGGCACACTCGGGGCTGCAGCTCCCTGTGCGTGGGGGCCAGGCCGGCTGTTCCCTGGCCCTGGCTGCCCAGCCCTGGCAGGATGCAGCTGGAGCTGCTGCAGTGCACAGCCAGCCCTGGCATTCCCTGGGGGAGGTGCTGCTGCCTGCCCTTGCCCTGCAGCCTGCATCCAGGGAGATTCTGGAGCAGGGAGCCGTGCTCTGTGCAGCTGCACTGCCTGCTCTCCCCTGGAGCACCTTGCCCTTGGCGTTTTCCTGCTGCATGGTGGCTGGAAGAAGGAAGCTCCTTATGGTGCCAGCCTCCTGCTGCAGAGAGCCCCGGGAAGAGCCCTGGGTGCTGTTGCTGCTGTGCAGCAAGGGCAGCATTCCCGCCTGGGAATTGGTGCTTCCTTTAACATCCTCCGATGCTTACAGTCCTGGGGCTGGAGCCAGGCTCACCTTGTTCTTGCTGCTGCAGTGCTTTGAGTTTGTTCTGAGACTGTCACTGCCTTGGCAAACAATGCTGGGGAAAGGCACTGAGAGCTGTTGGCTTGCAGGAACAGCTGCAGGCTGGGGGGTTGTGCAGGGTCAGGCCTGCAGGGCTGTGCCTTTGGGGGTGAAGCTGCTGAGGCGACTCTGAGCTGAGACTTCTGGAGAAGAGCACACTCTGCCTTAGTTTGCTGTTTGGAGAAGTAAAGTTCTACCCTCCCAAGAGTAATTTGCCTTCAGTAAATTGTTAATTTATTGTAAAGCAGAGTGTTCTAGACCAGCTTGGATGGGACTTGGCACCTGGCCCAGTGGAAGGTGTCTCTGCCCATGGCAGGGCGTGGAACTGGATGAGCTTGGGTTGGGATGTCACTCCCAGCCCAAACCACTCCAGGATCCTGTGGCTCTAGAGGGATGCCATCAGTTGATAACAAGCTGTATTGGGGCATCTTCTGGTTTATTCCAGGATTTCCCTCCCTTACCAGCCCCTTCCTGTTCTGTCTCCTTCTGTTGCTGTGTGAAAGAGCCACGTAAGCAGGAGAGACACATGCCAGATAAAAACAGCTCTGGCAAGCCTGCAGAAATCAACTGCAGAAATAAAGAGAGGATATTCTCTTAGGCAAATAATTAATATTTTTGAGGAGTGTTCGGACAGATGCCAGGCTAGGGTGGTTATTTTTGTACAAAGAAAGGAGAAGTTGTTAGTACACTTGTCACTTGAAGTTTCAAATTCAGGTTTTTATACCCAAGCCATAGAAACAACTTCAAAATAAAGAGAAGGTGGTCTGGCTTGTACTGATTACAGTGTAATTAATTGTGTCATCAGCTGCCCTGTCTGGCAGGTTTCAGCTCTGGCTGAAATGATAAATTGTCGTGACATTTTTTGCATAATTGGGTACCAACATCACCTGGTGTAGGTGGCATTCAGGGAGCAGGAGGAACCTGATTAGCTAAGGACAAAGAGGCCTGGTGAATTTTAGGCTGTTCTGCCTTCTTTTTGTTTTTTTTAATATAAAAAAAGTCAAACTTGACTGTCTGCCAGAATCCTGTGTTTTAAAAACAACTATGACGTGTCCAGACTGATGGGGTAAAACAGATACTTGATTATGGAGGTAACTTTAATGAAGCTTTCTTGCAGTTTAATCAGGACAAGCCTCGTCAGTCATATAAATAACTATACACAGAATCCCTGAGAGCCTTGTTAGCAGAAACTGGGTACAGCTTTGGTTCATTTGTTTACCTGGATGGTACTACTGAGTCTCACAGGGCAGCTGAGGGCACCCCATGTTTAAATGGCACAGCAGGATCACATAAGTGACACTGCCCTGGGACAGAATCCCAGAATCACTGAGGCTGGAAAAGACCCCCAAGACCATCATGTCCAACCTGTGGCTGATCCCCACATTGTCACCCAGCCCAGAGCACTGAGTGCCACATCCAGTTGTTCCTTGGACACCTGCAGGGATGGTGACACCACCACCTCCCTGGGCAGCCCCTTGCAGTGCTTCCCATGCAGCTGGGCTCTTTCAGGAGCTGGGCAGAGCAGTGCCCTCTTCTCTCTGAGCTGTGCTGCAGTCATGTCCCTCTCCACACCTCTTGTGCCAGGGCTGGTTTCCCCTCTCTGAAGAGCAGCTGTCCCTCGCTGCCAGGTGTGCCTGGCACACAGGTGATCCTTCAGGAGCTGTTGCTGGCTCCGTGTGCGGGGCTGGGCAGCGGTGCCCGCGCTGTCTGTCCTGCTCTCAGGGCATGGGGGACACCTGGGAGATGCACTGTGGAGGCAGTGGGAAGAGTGGCTCTGGGAATTCAGTGCTCAAGGTGCCTGTGTGACCTGACTGGTGCTGTCTCCCTTGCAGGTGCCATTCACTGTGTTGCAGGGTGAGGGGGTGGAGTACCTGGGCCATGCCAACGACGCTGTGATCGCCATCTCCAACTACCGCCTGCACATCAAATTCAAGGACTCTGTGATCAATGTGAGTCTGGCCCTGCCTGGACCATCACCTCTGCCAGGGTTTCAGAGCAGGGAGGGGTGGGAATACCCCGTTCCTGGGGGCTGTGGCACAGGAAGGTGCCTCTTGGAGGATGCCAGGCCTGGGCGTGCTGTTGCTGTTTGGTTACTGTATTTAAGTGTGAGGATGGGGTTTTCCTTTGGATAGTAATTAGGTCTTTCCTTCGGTGTTCTCTTTAAATTCAAGCAATAACTTTGGTGGTTTTAAGGCTGTTGAGGTCTCTTGGAAGCCAGTTTTAATGAGACATCTCACCAATGCAGAGTCAGACAGTGGGAGCTTGATGCTTTCTCTCGCTGCCTTGATTTGCTGTCCCTTACTGCAGCTGTTATTTGGCTCAGTTACCTGTGCTTGACTGGATGTGGTTGAGTCAGGAACTGGCCCCAAGTGGGAGATCACCAAGGGAGAGAACAGAAATCAGAATAATAATCATAGAAGAGCTCTGTGCTGACTCATGGAGCTCCATAACCCTGGGAGTGGGATTGTAGTTCACAGAAGCAGCTCGTGACTGGTGGAACTGTCTGCAGCGTGAGGAGCCTGCAGGCACGGCTGCCAGGGCTGCTCTGGCCTGTGGTGTCATGCCCTACATCTGTCCCTCCCTTGCAGGTGCCTTTGAGGATGATGGAAAGTGTGGAGTGTCGGGATATGTTCCAGCTTCACATCATCTGCAAAGACTCCAAAGTGATCAGGTATCTGGTTTATTGCTGTGGTGCAGCTGCTGGTGCTGCAGGCTGGGACCAGCTCTGGTGGCTCCCCCTGTGATGCTTTGGAACTGAGCTGCCCTTGGTCAGGGTTCTGAGGCTTGGGGCCGTGTTCCTTTTCCTGCCTCAGTCCTGGCTTGGTGAATGTCCCCACTAAGGGTGATTTGCCTTTGGGTTTGCAGGTGCCATTTCTCCACCTTCAAGCAGTGCCAGGAGTGGCTGAAGAGGCTGACTCGAGCCATTGCCCGCCCTGCCAAGCCTGAGGACCTCTTTGCATTCGCCTACCACGCCTGGTGCTTGGGGGTGTGTGTGGATGAGGAGGATCAACATGCACATCTCTGCCGTCCTGGTGAGCTCCTGCCTGGCCCTTCCTGCACTGCAGTTGAGCTCTTGTTCATAAACCCTGTCCAGTCTCACATTTGCCTCCCTGGGTCATCCTGTGCCTGGCCTAGAGATCCAGCTTGATATCCTGCTGGATAAGAAGCACAGTGAAAGGAATTAGTAACAAACACAGCAAAAAACTTTCTGAACCAGCAACACAGAAGCAGCTTTTCCCTTTCTCCTTGAGAGAAAACATCCCATACTTAAGTTCTCTAATCACAGTGATAGAGACCTCAGGCAGTCCTGTCCTGGAGTGGCAAACAGCATCAGTTTTGAGGCAGCCTAATTATTATGAGCCCATCTGCATCTCTTCACCAACACCCAAAAATGCTGTGACATTGCCAGGATCAGGTCGGTGGAGAGCTCTGGCTCATCCTCACACAGGATGAGTCCATGAAGAGAAAATCAAAGCAAATCAAAGCTTTGAGTCCATGAAGAGAAAACCAGAGCTGTGCTGGTGCCCTCGTGTGGACTGGGAGCCTCCCTTCCCTGGAACACAAAGTTTGCTTGCAGTTGCTTTGTCTTATCAATGATGAGGGTGTTTAAAAACAGAATTAAAATGAGTGAGAAACCTGGCTTTAGACTGAAAAATGAGCTGATCCTAGAGGAGAGCAAGAGTAGCCTGAATCAAATGTCCAAAGACAGGTGAGTGGAGGGTGGGGTTCAGTAATACAGTTATTCCAAGAGAAGCTGATAGAGGAAAGGTAAGCTCTGTCTCCTTACCATACCCCAAACCCCAGCAGAGATATTTGCTGTGTTTCCTTTAGGGAAAGTGTTTAGTGTAAATAAACTCACCGATTCAAGTTGTTGCTGCAGGATATGGTTGAGGTAAAGAGCTTTGCAGTATTTATTTATTAACAAGATTTGACACTGGAGCAACAAAGGCATCCAGAATTAGTGAGGCAAGGCTAAAACACGACAGAGGAAACCTTGAGTCAGTGTCTGAGAGCAGTCTGGAGGAAGGAACTGCCTCAGGTGGGTGCTCAGTGCTCCTTGCCATAGGGTTCCCGACACCCACTTTGGAAGCTGTCTCTGCCACATGGGCAGAAGCAGGTTAAATTAACCCCTCATACACCCCCTTGACATGGAGAGGCTGTTTATGTGCCCTGAGATGAGATCTGACTTGACAAAACAAGCAGAGGTACCCCTGTGAGGGTCAAGTCTTCCTGCCTTCTGAAGCACAATTATTTCTGCCATACAGTTGCCCATGAGTTTCTCCTTGCCCAAAAGATGCTCCCAGGGCTGGAGCTCCTCTGCTCTGGAGCCAGCCTGAGAGAGCTGGGGGTGCTCACCTGGAGAGGAGAAGGCTCCAGGGAGAGCTCAGAGCCCCTGCCAGGGCCTGAAGGGGATTATGAAAAGAGGGAGAGATTTTCTCTTAAGGGTGGGTTGTGGCAGGACATGGGGGAACAGTGTTAAAGTGACAGAGGGCAGGGTTAGATGGGATGTTAAAAGGAATTCTTGAATCAGGGAATGGAGAGGCCCTGGCACAGGGTGCCCAGAGCAGCTGGGGCTGCCCCTGGATCCCTGGCAGTGCCCAAGGCCAGGCTGGACAGAGCTGGGAGCAGCCTGGGACAGTGGGAGGTGTCCCTGCCATGGCAGGGGGTGGAACAGGATGAGCTTCAGGTCCCTGCTGAGCCAAACCTTTCTGTTGTTTTGTGCCTCTCTCCAGCCTGTGCCAGTTGCTGTGGAGTTCCACAAACAGATTCAGATTCCTGTGTGCTGTCAGTAACCTCCTGTGCTCTGTTCCTCAGGGGACCACGTGAGGTTCCGCTTTGAGATGGAGCTGGCGAGGATGGGCTTCGACCTGCAGAACGCCTGGCGTGTCTCTGACATCAACAACAACTACAAGTGAGTGTTTGTGTTTCATCACAGCCCCTCCCCGCTCTCCTCTTGCCTTCCTTTTCCCTTGGCAATCCCCATGCGGAGCAGTGGGTGAGGCAAACTCCAGCTAATCCTCCTTCCTGGCCTTGAGAGCCCCCAGGCTGATCACAGTATGAGCCAGATCCCTTTTCTTTCTGCCTTTCACATCGTGGAACTGGACAGGGAATACAGTCCAAACATCAGAGCTAGCAGGAACTGTAAATGCTGACTCAGGTAGTTTATCAGCTCTTGTTCCTCATGGAAAATATTTGGGAGTCTGGAGGTCCATCCATTGTGGGTTTGTCTTTGTGGTCAGTCCTCCTCTCTAAAATGCTCAGTTTGACATAACAGCCACAGTTTTCATGCACTCAGGCAGCTGTTCAGCTCTGTGAGGAGCTGGGGTTAGCCAGTGGAGAGCTGTTGCAGGCCCAGGAGTCTGGGAATGAGCGAGGCTCGTTCAGTCGGAGCAGCAGAAGCTGAAGGGTGATCTGCTCCAGCTGCTGGCAAGGCATTCCCAAAGGGCATGGAGTAAAACTTCTGGCAGTGGCACATGGCAGAACAAGAGGTGGCAGTCCCAAAGTGCAGCTTGGGAGCATCACAATGTGGAAGGGCAAAGAGCATTCCCTGGGAACATGGTGGTGTGCTGGGCACGTCCCACAGGGGCTTCTCCATCACTGTGTCACATTTCGGTTGAGCCAGTGTTGAAAGTGTTCCCTGTGGGCATTGGGGTGGAAATCTCTGCAAGGTTTTCCTACTCTCACAGTGGAAGGGACCTTTTGCCACTAATCAGTGTTTCCAGCCTGCCTTCTATTCTGGCAGGAGCTCAGGACTCTTGGAAAAGTGCAGCTGCACTGTTTGCAGCAGGTGGCATAAGCCAATGGGATTTCAAACTTTGATGGACGTACTCATTTGTGCATTTCCTATAATCCTGTTCTTGAAACCACTGGTATCCCTGAGCCTTTCCTCTCTGTCCCAGCCAGTCCAGACATCCCCATCACCTATGGATTGGACAGTTGTAGGTCACTGGTTTCCTGTGGACACCATGAGAAATCTCACACACACTGGACTGTGGAAATCCCAGTTTTGGAGCTTGCTGCCTCTTCTCTTTTCCTGAAGAATCCAGGCCACAAGCACTAAATTTGGGGGGTGATTTCCATTTTACCTCTGCCCCACTGACCACATCATTGCTTTGGGACTGTTCACATGACTTTGCTGGCGTTTACACAGTTTCTCCAAGGTTGTCAAATAAAAGTTGTTGTCCTGAACTCCTCTGTTTTGGAGGGCACGGCCTTTGGGTTCCTGCCCTAGACAAAGTCTGTGTGTATGGTCTTCTTCCCTGCTGGGTCTTGGGGTGTGGTTCCCTCTGACTGTTTCAGGAGGTTCAGCTTCCATTGACCATCTGTGCTTTGCTTCGTGGCCAATAATTCACAGCCATTAACCACCTTCTCTGAAGACAGGTGTTTGATTTCCAACCAAACCAGGGAAGAAAGGACTTAAAACAAACCTCAGCAAGCTGGGTGTGGGCCTGGCTTTGCTTCCCTCCACCTGCCAAGTTCCTCCCTGGAGATCCTTGCAGGTCCCAGCTTCCTGCAGACATCCCAGGATCTCAGGGGTGGTGCAATTGCCTTGTGCGACTCAAACCAGTTCTCTCTTGCTGCTGGGGGAGTGTGGCTTTAAATCCTGCCCTGCCTTTTGATCATAACCACCTGCCTCTATTCACAGGGATCAGGTTACTTTTTAACTGTTTATAGTCCTTTTATCTTTTATTTCCCTGCATTGGCAAAACAGTGTTGTTAAAGACAGGATACTCCAAGGTAATGGCTTTGTTCCTTGTCTTTCAAGTCTGTTCTGAGATGTCCTTATCTGGGAACTATTATCTCCTTCCTGGCGACAGCCCTCGTAAAGTGAGAGCAATACAAGCTTATAATAACCACTCCTTCAATCTTGATAAAAGTCTACAGTGATAATAAAATTATTACATGGTCTCTCCCTGGCTCTCACATCTTCAGGGGTGTTATACCCAGGGAAATGGGATCACTCCAGCATTGCCCATCTGGTCCACACAGGCTCTCTGAGGTAGTTGTTTCATATCAGCCTTAGCACTGGTGTTTGGTACACATGTAGTTCCTTCAGAAAAAGGAAAACACCAAAAACACTTTGCCTCCAGTGTTGACGCTCATTTTTAGGTTTCATCTTTTTACAGTTGTGATTTTATTTAACTTTTGAGTTTATGAGGAGAAAGTTTGCCTGGAGTTCTGTTACTGCTCTAGCCAGATGGTGTTTCCTACTGGTCTCTGAGACTGCTCTTAATTCAAATTTTGTCTTTTTTTACACTTCTCTATAAATTTTAATAGTATCCATACCATTGGAAGGGGATAGTTACTGTCCCTGCTTGGATTTGCCACAGGAACATGTGGACAGTAAGTCTGTGAGAACTGTTAGTGGCACATGTGTTTGCCTTCTGTGAAACAAGAGCTTGGACAAGGCTCTCAGGGACAGGATGGGCTTGTTAGGGTGTCCTGTGCAGGGCCAGGGGCTGGACTCGATCCTCATGGATCCCTTCCAAACCAGAGTATTCATGGTTCCTCTCCCTCATTGTTACCTCTGTGCTAAGAAGGTTCTCCATCGATCCCCATTCACAGGTGCTGATTCCTGTGTTGTTCCAGCTGCCCTCTCCTGCCATCAGACCTCACAGTTCAAGGCTGTTTCCCTTTGTTGTCTGGCTCAGGCTGGTCCTGGGGCTTTCCAGGGCACCCCACTGCAGGTGGTTCCTTTAGGACTCCTGTTGTGGTGAAAAATGATCGTTGAGCTTCTGAACTATTTTTGATCTTCTCAAGAGCAGCTGTTTCCTAAAGGAGCATTCTTCAGCTCTGTGGGGACATACCCGTTAAAAAACACAGGCACGCAAAAAATTTCAAACAACCCCTTCTGAAAATCTAAATTTGCCCTATCTGCTCATTCACTGATGTTTCAGGTAGCTCTCACACGTGAGGAGTGACCTCCCTCCCAAGAGCCATATTGACTCAAACCCCAAGTGCCCTGAACTTGACCCTTTTTGTTGTTGTTGCTGTTGTGGGAGCCTCATCCCCTCTAAAAACATGACTGAATCTACTGAGTGATGAATGCTGTAACAAAGGGAGTTTTCAGTTATTCTGCTTTGGAGCAGCTTAGGTCCAAAGGAAGAGTCAGAGACTTGATGATTTTACTGGTAGCACCAAGAAACACCTGTGTGTGTCTGAAAATGTCACCTTTGGTTCAGACCTGTGTGGAAGCAAAACAAGTCTCCCATGGGAATTTCTGCCCTTGCAGCCTTTCTGCTTCTCTTCCAGCCCCTGTGGATGCCATTACTGTCACTCCAGGGGTTGGTAGTGTTGTCTCAATGCTGTCCTGTTTCTCTTCAGGCTTGGGATTTGATCTGTGCACATTCTGGTGGATGTTGGTCACTCTGAGTATTACACTGTCACTGCCACCTTCCCCTGGAAGCTGCCCACGCTTTGTTCACAAGCTCAGCCTATTTAGGCCTTCCTATAAAGCTTGTACCCTGAAAAGTAAGGTGCCACAGATATCCTTCCTTGTATCGGTTTATAAGATACTGTTAAGCCAACAGAATTGCTTATCCTGGGTTTTCACTTCCTCTACTGTATTCCTCTGGAATTCTAGCCTAGAAAGACATGTCTCTTTGTCTTAACCTTATTCCCTGTTTCTATGCACCCTGCTTGAATTTGGCTTCACTTCTTAAAGATGTCCTGTTTCCTACCTGAACTTTATTGATTTCTATCTTACTGTTTCCCTAAGGCTGCAGAGTTTTAGTGATTTAACTCTTGCAAGATACACTCCTGAGCCTCTTCTGGACTACCTCTCCCCAGTCTGTACTTTTAAAACATCACCCATGTTTCATCTGAGGTGCCAGGGAACTGTTTGCACTTCAGCAGAGCCTGTTCACGTATAGACTCAGCTATTCCAGAAGTTCCTCCAGACCTGAACAGGTGCTAACCCTCTCCCACATTCCTGCATCTTCAGTCATGCTTCACTGCTTCTCTAATTTCGTGACCACCTTTACTTAAGGAATCTCAGGCATTTCAGAGATGTCCAAGCCCAGACATCCTACCACAAATAACCTGGACTTCACCTTCTTAACTGACAGCTTTAATTTTGCTTCCTGAATTCCTCATCCTCACCCAGTTGTTTTTATCCCTTAGCCACCATTGCTTTTTGCCTGGGGCTCTCAGAGGAGCTGTCTAGACACTGGAGTGCCATTTTGCAGCGTGGCAGGCAGTTCTTCACTAGCACTATAAACTAATACTGAATTGTGCTCGTTGCCATCAGCTGGAATAGCCTGGGCTCAGGAACACCAGACCACCCTCTGGAGCTTACTGGCTGGATCCTTTCACCCTCCTCACATTGCTCCCCGTCTACCCTGAAACATTCCTGCTAAATGATGTGGGATAACCTTGAGCCAGAGCTGCTCTTTGATGTTCCTTGCCATGTACCCTCCTGTGCCTGCCTGGCTGCAGGGGCTCAGCTGCTCCAGCTCCCAGGCCCTGCTGTGTCTGAGCCTGCCCTTGGCCTGTGCTGGGAGCAGCAGGGGCAGGGCAGGAGCCAGAGAGCCCCCCCTGCACTCCTGGAATTCTGTGTGTGCTACAATTCCAGAATGGTTTGTGGTGGAAGGAACCTTAAGGCCCATCCAATTCCACCCCCTGCCATGACAGGGACACCTCCCACTGTCCCAGGCTGCTCCCAGCCCTGTCCTTGGGCACTGCCAGGGATCCAGGGGCAGCCACAGCTGCTCTGGGCACCCTGTGCCAGGGTCTCTCCACTCTCCCAGTGAACAATTTTTCCCCAATATTCCATGTCACCCTGCCCTCTGACAGTGCTCTCTCCTCTCAGAGTTCTCCTCTCACTGCTGGTGCGTGTTCAAATAACTACAAGAATTTGACTTCTGGCACCCAACAAACAAGTTATGATGTAGATCTCACTCCTGTCACTTTATTTGCATACCCCCAAGTCCCCACTGCTAAATTTCTGGGCAGATTTGTGTCTTCCTCACTGAACAATGTATCCTGTTCTCTCAGGCAGAAAGTGATTGGCTATTCTTTACCAGAAGCTCTGTGTGTACCTGCTACAAGAAAACAAAAACTTAATGTAAATTATTGACTATTCCCCTAAACCCTCATGAATTCTTAAATCCAGTGGTTGTTCCAAAGGTGTTCTGAGAAGTACTAGGATACTTAGTATGAGGCCTGGGGTGAAAGGAGGCTGTCTTCTCTCAGCGCATTCCTGACAGCACATTTTGTCTCACTGTGCTGAGACAGATATGAGGAGGAAGAGACAAAATCCTGCAGGTTGAGTCTGGGGAAATGTGAGCTGCTCTGGGACAGATTTTTGATTGCTCAGTCCTCATCTTGCCTTTCATGCTTTCTCTTCTCCAGACTTTGTTCCAGTTATCCCCAGAAGCTGCTGGTCCCTGTCTGGATCACTGACAAGGAGCTGGAGAATGTGGCTTCATTCAGGTCATGGAAGAGGATCCCTGTGGTGGTGTACAGGTAAATGCAAACCCAAATTCCCTCCCCCAAAGCCATGACAGCTGCCATGTCCTCACAGTCTTGCAGGGGCTTTGGACAGGGATGGCAGGAGAGCTGTTTGTGCTTTGCCTCCTGCCTGCTCCCAGGGCTCCTTCTCCCAGCAGGGTGTTTTCCAGAAGAGAGAAGCAGTGTTCCAGAACTGTCCTTTGCTGTTCTCAGTCAGATTTGAAGGTGTGGGTGACTTTCCTCCTACGGGAGATGTTGCAAGATGAGGTCAAATTAAAGTTCTCTCAGAGTTTCAAAATCTTTCCACACGTTGGTCCTTGTCTGGCTGCTACTTTGAAAAGAAATCTGAGCCAAAAGGAGCCTGCTGGGTGCCCTGTGCTCAGCAGGGTGTGCAGGCCTGGACAGACCTGGGAATGCCCAAATCTGCAGCTTCTCACAAGGGGCAGTGGAGGGGCAGCTCTGATCTCTGCTCTTGGATGACCAGGGACAGGACCCAAGGGAAGGGCTGTGTCAGGGACATTTAGGGTGGATCTCAGGGAAAGGTTGGGTGCTGGCACTGCCCAGGCTGCCCAGGGAATGGTCCCAGCCCTGAGGCTGCCAGAGCTCCAGGAGCTCCAGGGATACCCAGGCTGGGATTGTTGGGGTGTCTGTGCAGGGCCAGGGGTTGGACTGGGTGATCCTTGGGGGTCCCTTTGAGTTTAGAATAATCTGTAATCCTATGAAAAATTCCCTGACCTGCCTTCCAGAAATAATCTAGAGGGGGATGCAGGAGGCCATGCAGTCAATGGAGCAGGGCTCTGCAGAGTAGGGGCTGGTTCCTAACCCTAACCCTAACCCTAACCTAAATGTATCTCCCAGGAGACTGAAGTGTTTGAAACCAACAGCAGGCTGATGGAAAGAGGCACCCAGGCAGTTGTGCTGTTGTAAAATCTACATTATGGTTTATAGCCTTAGACTGTGTGTTAGCAGTCACCAAATCCAAATATAAAAATACCTTAAAAGATCAGAGCTGAATTGGAAAATAGGAAAGTCAGGAAGGAAAACCAGTGAATTTACAGGTACCTTAACTCTGCATCAGCACACTTCTTGGCTTGCTGTTGGATGTGGCAAAACACTGTGTGTTCCTTCTGGAACTCAGCTCTGCAGCAGAGTGGGAATGAGCACAGCTTATCGGATGGAGCCTTTCCCTCCTTGTAGCCAGCTCAGCTCAGAAGTTAATTGTATTTGTGATTCCTTTTGCTAAAAATGGCCTGGTGCTGGAGCTTGTCCCACTGTGCCTACCCACCCCAGGGCAAAGCCATGTCTTTTTCCTACTCCAGCAATTATTTTGTTCCTTGCTTTACATCTCTGTAATGGTACCCAGTAATTTATGAGCTGAGTACAACCCTTTGCAGCCTGAGATCAGATTAGAAGACGCTGACAAGTGATGTTACAAGATGGGGCAAGTGCTTGCCCATGTGTCCCTGATTTTCATGCACTTTTTTTAGTCTTTGCCCTCAAGATTGAAGTCTTTGGAGCAGGAGGGTCCTTGAGGGTCAAGGCTGCTTCTGCAATGCCTTGTGCTGTGTGGAAATGAAAAGCCTGACACTCAGCTCCTCCTCCTCACTTGGAGCTCAGGAGAGAATGGATGGGTGCCTGCATCCCAAGGGACTCTGACAGACCTCAGAGCTTTTGAATAAGGCTGATCTCACTGGGTCCCAGTCAGAGCTGTAAAACATGACACCAAAGGTATCCCATTATCAGATTTCTTGAAAAAAGTATAAATTAGCTATTAAGTAAAACAGAAATTCAGGTCTCCAGCTCAGTCCTCAGTGGAGATGCACAGGGGAGATGCAGAAGCCTCCAGGCACAATCCACTTCTAAAACAAGGCAAAGGATGCAATCAATTATTTAGCTAAGTAGAGAGGCAGTCGGGCATGGTGTGGCAGTTCTGGCTGTGTCTGCTCAGCCCCCTTGAAGAGACCCTGGGCCTGTGGCAGCAGGAATGCTCCTCCCCATGCTCAGCATCCCCTGCCAGGGGACAGCGGGCCCTGCTCCCCACCACGGCTGAGCCTCGCTCTCGGCTCTCACATCCTGCCACAGTGAGACAGGAGTTTATCCCAGGGATGTGGAAATGGAGCGTTTATACACACACATCTCAGCTGGGAACCTTCAGGCTCAGCTCAGTAAACCCTCTCCAGGCTCTTTCTTGTGCTGTAAACCAAGCTCCTTGACTTGTCCAGGAAATAACAGAGATACTTGGGAGATCATAGGATCATGGAATGATTTGGGTTGGAAAGGACCTTGAGAATTGTCTACTTCCAGCCGCCCTGCTGCTGCCTTCCACTAAACTATGTATTAATCCATTGTGGAGGATTGTTGGAGGTTAAATGGCATGTGCTGACAGTATCAGATGTGCTCTAGCCTTCTGCTCAGAATAGTTCTGTGAGGAAAAACTCAACTGATAAACTACAGAGGCACTTCATATTGCAGCTTTGGACCATGAAAGGGTCTTGAGTCGTTTAGTCAAAACTAAACTGAGGATCCCTAAAGAATCATTTGCTCCATATTAGTTAAAACACTCTGGCACTTTCTGACATTCCAGTTTCAAGAAAGAAACTTTTTCCTTTGAGAAAAACCTCCCCAAAACTCCCACATAAGAAAAGGCCTTAAATGGTTCCTGTGCTGGTGCTGGGGAGATGTGCAGGGAAGGCAGAGTCAGGTTCTGGTGCTCCCCTGCCCTGGGAAGCTCCTTGCAAGCTCAGCTGTGGTTTTGGTTCCTCTGCTGGCACCTGCTGTACTTTCTGCTTGCTGGTGGCTTCACACGCCCTGGTGCTGCCACATTTCCTTGTTTGCTGGCAGGTCACCGTGTCCCCTGAAGGTCCCCAGCCGTTGTTCAGGGCTCAGGGGTTTGTGTTACCAAGAGTTCTGTGAGTTCAGCGCGACCATGGCGACACGGGCAGCTTTGCAGCTGCAGTGCCCGCGCCCTGTCCTGTTCCCCAGGCTGCCTGCCGGGAGCAGCCCCTGGCACAGCACCTGCCCTTCCCAAAACGTGCTCAAGCTGTCTGGGAAAGTGTTGCTTGGCACAGGCCAGGAGCTGTGGGTGGCTCACAAACAGGCTTGGATGATCACAGGCTGGTGCTTAAGTCCACACCTTGGCTCTGTTTCATTTACTACTATAAACAAAGCCTTTGCTGCTCTCTGTTATCCATCCTTGAGTGATCCTGAAGGCAGGAATAGATCTCCTGGGAGTGACTGCTGTGCAAGTCACCTTGCAAAACAGAGCAGCACTTCAAGTAAAGGGTCCCCACGGTGTTTTGACTTGGCCAGACATGAACATTATTTCTTTGGAAGGCTTCAGTTTAAAGTCTTCGTTGTTATTATCTGTGAGATCTCATTAAGGAAGCTACATAAACTGACAGAGGGCAGGGTGACATGAGATATTGGGAAGGAATTGTTCCCTGTGAGGGTGGTGAGGTCCTGGCACAGGGTGCCCAGAGCAGCTGGGGCTACCCCTGGATCCCTGGCAGTGCCCAAGGCCAGGCTGGATGGGGCTTGGAGAAACCTGGGACAGTGGAAGATGTCTCTGCCCATGAAGGGGGTGCAATGGGATGGGCTTTAAGGTTCCTTCCACTACAAACCATTCCTTGACTCTGTGGTCTCCAAATAAATGCTGCAGGAGGGGTGGTGGGATGGTTGAGCATGGTTGGTGTGTGGGTCTGGTTCAGGGCTGTGGAGTTCATTTTCCCATCTCCAGGAAGGACCAGGCAGCAGGAGCAGCACCTCAGGGTGCTGCAGGTAACAAATGAGACAGGGATGCAGGTGCTCTTTCCTGGTGCATCTTCGGAGCATCTGCTATCTTAGATTTCTTACACCCATTTGGGAAAATGGGTGACTGTCTCATGGTCACTTGGTGAACCTGCCACCAAGTGTTGGAACCAGTTGGTAGTTCCACATTGCGCTGTGGCTGTGAGTCCACTCTTGGTTTTGTTTGTTGTCCAAGAAATACTTGTGTTTCTGAAACATGGCATGGCCATTCCAGTGCTTGCTTGTGTCTGTGCCACCCATCTCTGGAGCTTGGTTTAACTACAACATGATCCTTTTTGAGAGAGTTTGTGTCATTTTAGGATGGTTAAGATGTGAATCCATAATATTTTATTTCTTACTCCTTTCCCAGTAACTGTTAGCACATCCTTAACCTTCTTGCTTCTTTTGAGCACCGAGTTGAGGCTTTTGAGAGCTTCCCAGTGACTTCAAAGCCTTTGGGATCTGCACCAAACTGCTCCATGTCACAGCTGCGGTTATGCTTTGATCATCTGTAAATACTCTTCACTTGTAATGCTAAATTTCACACTCTCTGGGTCATTCTCTATCAGCAGCTTTGTCACATCACAGTCCCTTCCCTTCCCAGGCCAGTTGGGAATGACTTGACCAGTGTGTTCATGTGAGAAATGCACTGATTCCTACTTCAGATCTCCTTGTCAGTAAGCACAGCCAGGGAAGGGTTCACATTTAGGGGTTGTTGATAAACACCAGCTCAGGCCTCCACCCAGAAACTCCCTGGTCTGATGCCAAGTGAGCTCATCTTCCCAACTTACAGGTGATATGTGAAATGGTTTAACAATGGGTCTGGAATTGGAGGAAGGAATAAAAGAAGGAGAAGGAGAGAACAGAGCAGCCTTAAAATCAAGTGGAAGCTGTCCCTGTCCATGGCAGGGGGGTCAAACAAGATGATCTTCAACCTCCCTTCCAACCCAAACTATTCCATGATTCTATGAAATAACTAATACTTTCCCAAAAAATATTCCATTCTATTTCATAGAATGGAAAAGACCTTCAAGATCCCAAGTCCCATCTCTGACTTCTATTTATATATATTAATATATCCTGTAACCTATAAATATATAAAATAGATATTATTGTATATAGATATGACTGTATTTATAAA